AGAGAGAGAAATGGAAAATTATTGATGACAACATGCATGATTAAGCCACTACGCAGTTTATTCTAGATGGGAAACCACATTTGGTATGATGTGACGATGCTTAGGGATGAATATAAATTAATTAATTAAAATAAAAAAGGTTCAGGAGGAAAAAACCCACAAAAATGACTTTTATTACATTTCAATAAAAGCAGTTTTCGTGTTGGAAACGTCTGCTAACTGAAAGAAGCCAGACACAGAACGTCACGTTTTGTATAACTGCACTCGTATGAAATTCCCAGGAGAGGTAGGTTTGTAGAGACGATGTAGACAGGTTGCCTGGGCCGAGGGCAGCGAAATGGGGATGACTATCTATCGGCTATCATGTTGCCTTTTGGAGCATTGAGAAGCTTTTGGAGGTTGTAGTTGCAACATCGTGAATGTACTAAATGTTATTAAATTATACCCTTTAAGAAGATCAATTTTATGTTATATGTATTTCATCTTAATGAAAAATTACACCAAAACCAAAAACGAATGAGGTAGATCTTTTAAAAAATTTTTTTTGCCAGAGTGTGTGCATTCACCAAAAAGAGACAGAGAGACAGAAACAGGTAAAAGTGCCACCAGTGGGGAGTGGTCAGGCCACAATCACTTCTCATCTCTTTCTCCATCCTTTCAGGATTTGGGGCACACACGCACATGCGCCCAACATGTTTTCCAAGCTCCTGGTCAGGATCCAGGCTGTTGGGCACACACGCACATGCGCCCAACATGTTTTTCAAGCTCCTGGTCCAGATTCAAGCTGTTATCAGCCATGTGGAGTCTGGTTCCCTTAACCACTCAGCTAGAGAGCTGGCTCAGAGGTAGATCTTCATATGCTCATGTAAAGAGGTCTTGAAGATGCTTCAGGGGGAAAGCCAGGACAGGACAGTGTGGTTCTGCTGTTGCCGTGGAAGCAGAGTGAAGGTTCCTGTGGGTGACATATATACTGGGCATCTTTCTAAAGTAGCACTATCCAACAGAAATAGAAATAGAATGTGAGCCCTGTATGTAACAAAATTTTCAAGTAGCCACATGCAAATGGAAGAGGTGAAATTGACTTAAATGATGTTATTATTGTTGTTTAGAGGGCATGTACGCTCACTGGAGAGAGAGAGAGAGAGAGAGAGAAAACATTCCCCCATGGAGGACGGTCACACTGCAATCCCCCCTCCATTTCTGCCTCCTTTTAGAATTTTGGGCATGTACACACATGCACCTGGCATATTTTTCAAGCTGCCAGGTCCAGGACTCGAACCCAGAAGTTGGCGATGTGTAATTCGGTTGACTTGATCACCATGCCAACAGCTGGTTATTATTATTATTATTTTGAGAGGTTCTTGCTAAAAGGTACATGTTCTCTCCAGAAAGACAGAGAGCAACAGAGAGACAGAAAGTGAGAAATCACTGCCCCCTCTGCCCAGGGGGGATGGCCACACTGCAATCCCTTCTCTTCCATTCTCCTCTCAGGATCTTGGGCATTCACGCGCATGCGCCTGTTGTGAGTGTAAGCCGCTGAGTCCAGGACTCGCACCACGGTCGACTACATGGGAGTCCAGAGACATAGCCATTCCATCTATTGCTGATCCTCCAACATGCTATTATTTCAACATGTAATCAGTATAAACATTATTAATGAGATTTATGTCATTTTTCTTCTTCTTCCTCCTCCTCTCTTTCTTCTTCTATTTTCCTAGATCTTCAAGTCTGCCGTTTTGCATTCACGGCATATCTCGGTTTGTACCAGGTACTTTTATGTACTCAGCAAAGGCTCGTGGCTACAGATCCTGCATTGGCCGGTGCAGGTCTGAAATAGAAACACGGACAGATCGCCTGACAGAGTGGCCACCCCTTCTGTTATGGGCTGAATTATGTCCTCCCAAAATTTGCATGTTGAAGGCCTAAGCCCTGACTCCTCAGGATGTAGCAGTGTTTGGATAGAGAGGTAATTAAGTCACAGTGGGATGGTCCTGATCCAATGTGACTGCAGTCCTTGTTAAGAGGAGATTGGGCCACTCGGAAGGACACAGGGTTTTGTGAACACAAGGGAAAGGCCACCTTGGGAAGCAGCCAGAGGCCATCTGTAAGCCATCGAGAGGCCGTGGCGAGGCCTGCCCTGCTGACACCTGGGTCTTGGCCTCTAGCCTTCAGATCTGTGAGAAAATCAATTTTTGTCTGAGCCACCAGCCTAGGTCTGTGCCAGCAGCCCTGGCAAACAACGCCCTTCCATGCAGGGTCCTGAAGTCAGAGAACCATGCAAAGTTCGGCAAGTCGGTGCCTTAATTGATGGCAGACTGGTTGAGGGGTAACATGGCTCAGTTGGAGTGAGCCAACCATGCCCCAAGCTGGCTCTCCCACCAGGCGGCTGCACCGAGCTCCCGGTGGCCACTGCACTGGCTCCTGCCCTCTCCCTGTGAAGGCTTCCTTCGAGCGTGTCCCAGAGAAAATGCCCGTGCTGGGATTCTTGCTTGGACCTGCTTGATAGTGAAGCAGTCAAGAAGACACAATCATCTCATTTAGTCCCGTGTCCTCATCAGGGAAGCAGCCTGTCCCCTCAGGAGATGAAGTGGAGACTGAAAGAGGGAAAGACACTTAGCCAAGAGCTAGGGTTTGAACCCCAGCCCACCTCTGGGCATGGGCCCCTCTGTCCATCGTGTGGCTTTTCTGAGGACCTAGGAACACCTTGGCCCCAAGGAGGATGGGACGAAGGCCAAGGTGGAGGGCCCCAGGGCCTTGGAGCTGGACCAACTTACAGGAATGACTTGTGCACCTTCCACCGGCCCTGAACCTGGATGGAGGAGTCGGAGACAGTGAGGCTCAGCCCCTGGCCAGGGAGGGGCTTCAGAGTGGAGCCAAGCAACTTGCAGTCATGGATGTCCAGGCTGGAGAGAGAGACACACACACAGAGGGAGGCCTCAGGCCTGGGCCTGAGCAGCCTCTCCAGGGGCCTTGATCCTACCTCACAGCCCCGCTCCCCGCCATGTTGAGGACTAGGCCTGCAGGACCTGCTTGAGGGAAGGCCTGGCTCCCCACTTACGGAGCACCCACCTTGTGCTGGCCTGGCTCCTCACCTGCTGAGCACCTGCTCTGTGCCAGGCGTGGACCGTGTGACTGTGCTGAGCTCCTTGCATGCCTCGTACCCTGGAGGCCTCATGGGCAGGCCGGCTCTGTCCTCATTCCTTCCCACAGAGGAGGAAATGGAGCCCCAAGGCAAGGATGCCCTGGCCCACTGCTGCCTAGTCAGGATTAGAACCTGTGGCTCTCATGATCCCAGCTGATATCCTGGGAAGGGTTCATAGACCCAGCCCTTTGTTTCTGCAGCTCTCTTTTTTCTTTTTTCAATTTTGCCAGCGGGCACACGCGTTTGCTGGAGAGAGGGAGAGAGCACGCATGCCTGCAAGAGTGTGCTCTCCGTGAGGAATAGTCCTGCCAGACCCCTTCTCCTCCACTCCTCCCTCCCTTCAGGATTTCGGGCATGCATGCACACAGCCCTGGTGTGTCTTTCAAACCGCGGGGTTCGGGACTCAAACTGCAGTCAGCAATGTGAGGTCCAGCTGCCTTAACCACCACATCTCCCTCTTCCAATCCTCCCCTTCTTGAAGACACACGAGTATGGAATTGGATTATGAGAAGACAGCGGTGGTCTTCAGAGAAGACACCTAATGGGTCAGCATGGGGACCACTAGTGGGAAAAGAATGGTCAAGTTCCATTTTTGCTCACACCTAGTAGGTGCTGAGTGAATGCTTGCTGGTGGCTGAATAAAAGAAAGGAAGGAAACAATCAGGGGTCGTGAGTGAGGAGGGGTGTAGAAGCCCCAGGCCTGATTGCCTGCCCTCCACCATTCAGCCCTCCAAAAGCATTGTCTGCCTTTTGTTTCAGCATCAGCAGCTCATGCCTAGTGATCCTTAGAAGACCAGGTTTAACTGCCACCTCCTCTGGGAAGCTTTCCTTGACTCCTCCATGTACAAACTTCAGTTCTCACAGTAGGGTTACTACATGTAGTTTAAAGTCCATCTTTCCTTCCAGACTATATTCAGTGGCCAGATTGGATGCTGGATTATCGATCTGAAAAGGTCTGATCAAATCCATTTTACAAATGAGGAAACCAGGCCCTTCATTGTAACTGCCGCACGGAGGAGCTCAATGCCCTCCCAGAATTTCCTTCTGATCTTCCCAAGAAGCTCTTCCTCTATCTGCCCAAGAGAGGTCTCCTGAACCAGTCCTAGGCTCTCTCCCCTCCATGTCTAGCTTCCCTGCAAGCCACCTGGGAGCCCCAGTGGAGGGAGAGCCCCACCTGTGGAAAGAGTATTGCCCGCGGCCCACGCGGTTGATCTTGAAGTCCCCGGTGAAGTCGGGCAGCGTGATTCTGCTCAGTTCGCTCTGCAGAGCCAGAAGCCCCTCCTTGGCAGCTGTTGACAGGGGCAAACAGGAGGTGAGCTTGGTCTGCTGCCTCCCTTCTCTGCTCTAAACCCCTTGGTGGCTCCCACCTGCCCTGAGATAAGAGGTGTCTTCCTTGTTAGGCTGTATCGATCACAGGCCAGTGAGCCCTTGTGGGGGCCATGTAGG